CCGCTGGATCTCCCCTCCTCGTGAACCAAACACTCGTGAACAACACAACTATGTCGAGGGCAGACCCCGACAGTTACTCATTGTAAATGTGTTTCAGTTGAACTTCCAGACAAACATAGACTAGGAAAAAGGAGATACAGACTACTTCTGAATATTTGTTCACTGAAAACCATATAAATAACAGCAGAACATTGTCAACACTAGAATACTGAATATTGAAACACTGTCAGATACAGTGCCAAAAGATGAGCACTATAGGTTGGAAGACACTCATAATACGATGGGGGAGGAGCTGCTTCCTCAAAGTAGAGTTGACTGTGATGACAAGAATAGATTAAAGCATTTGGGACCTCCATTTGCTGATGGGACATAACTCAAAATGGAGAGAAATGTAAATATTCACTAATAAACATAACATGGTATGTGTGAATTATGAATCTAAGAAAAATGTAAATTGTCAACAATGAACAGAATGCAAAACATTGATATCTTAAGAATTAGAAAGTTGAAATGTACTGGACTTTGCCATTTTGAATCTGACAATCAGATGGTTCACTATGCTGGGAATGAAAAATTGAGGAGGAATGGCATTACATTCATCATCTGTCTTGAAGTGCAACACTGTCTGTGATAGGATAATATCTATAGGCCTACAAGGAAGAACAGTTAATACCACAATTATTCAAATTTACACACAAACCACTAAAACTAACGATGATGAAACTGAAGAATTCTACCAACTTCTTCAATCTGATATTGATAAAATGTGCAATAGAGATGTATTGATAATTACTGGTGGTTTGAAGGGAAAGGTTGGAAACAAAAAGAAAGAATCAGTAAGTGGAAAATATGGCCTTGGCAATAGAAATGATGCTGGATATACCATGCAAGACCAATGATTTCTTCATTGCAAATACCTTTTTTAAAACAATATACATGATGACTAGAAACATGGACCTCACCGTATGGAATACAGAGAAACCAAATTTACTACATTTGTAGAAAGAGACAGTGGAAAAGCTATTTATCATCTACTAAAACAAGGCCAGTGACAGACTATGGAACAGACCATCATAATCTCATATGAAAGTTCAGACTAAAGTTGAAGAAAATTAAAACAAGTCCACAAGAGCCAAAATATGACTTTGAATATTTCTAGTCTGAATTTAGAGATCATTGAAGAATGGGTTTGATGCGTTAGATACTAAAGACCAAAGATCAAAAGGGTTGTGGGATGGTGCCAAAGATATCATACAGGTAGAAAGCAAAGGGTCATTAAGAAGATAATAAAGAAGGAAAACACAAAATGAATGTCGAAAGAGACTCTTAAAGTTGCTCTCCAGTGTAGAGATGCTAAAACAAATGGAAGAAATGTGGAGATAAAAGAGCTGAATAGAAAATTTCAAAAGACAGTTCGAGAAGACAAAGTCAAATATAACAAAAGTGCAAAGACCTTGGGTTAAAATGCCAAAAGGGAAGACACAATCAGCATTTCTCAAGTAGAGAGAATTAAAGAAGAAATTGAAGCCTTAATTTACAACATTGAAGGGTTCTATGGGCAAAATATTGAATGACACAGAAAACATAAAAAAGATGGAAGGAATACACAGAGACACTGTACTAACAGAAATAGTCGATGTTCAACCATTTCAAAAGGTAGCATATGATCAAGAGCCAATAATTTCCAAAGAAGAATTCCAAGTTACATTAAAGTCTTTGGCAAAGAAAAAGGCACTGGGATTTGATGGAATATACGTTGAAATTTTTCAACAAACTAATGCAGCACTGGAGATACTCATTCATATAATACCAAGAAATTTGAAAGACAAGTACCTGGCCAACTGACTGGAAGAGATCCATATTTGTGCACATTCCAAAAAGAGGTGACCCAACAGAATGTGTAATTCAATGGACATTATCATTCATATTGAATGCAAGTAAAACTCTGCTAAAGATATTTCATAAATGGCTGCAAACATACATTGTCAGAAAAGTGCCAGAAGTTTCAGTTGGACATTCAATAGAGGATGTGGGATGAGGGTTATCATTGCTGGTATCAGATGGATCTTGGCTGAAAGCAGAGAATACCAGAAAGATGCTTACCTGTGCTTTATTGACTATGCAAGGTTTTCAATTTTGTGGATCATGACATGCTATGGGCAATAATGCAGAGAATGAGTATTCCAGAACAGTTAATTGTGCTAATGAAGAACCTGTACATAGAACAAGAGGCAGTTGTTTGAACAGAACAATGAACACTAAATGGTTTAAAATTAGTGAACGTGTGTGTCAGGGTTGTATTCTTTCACCATTCAGTCTGTATGCTGAGCAAAAAATCTGAGAAGCTGGATTATATTAAAAAGAATGTGACTCGCATTATGGAGATAATACAACCTTGCTTGCTGAAAGTGATGAGGACTTAAAATACTTACTGATAAAGACCAAAGACCACCTCAATGTATAGGAAACAAAAGTCCTCATCACTGGACCAATAAATAGCATCCATATAAATGGAGAAAAAATTGAAGTTGTCAAAGATTTCCTTTTGTTTGGATCAACCACCAACACTCATGGAAGCAGCAGTCAAGAAATCAAATGCCATATTACATTAGACAAATCTGCTGCATAAGACCTCCTTAAAGTGTTAAAGAGCAAAGATGTCAGTTTAAGATGTGCCTGACCCAAGCCATGATATTTTCAATAACCTCATATGCATGTGAATATTAGACAGTGAATAATGAAGACTGTAGAAGAATGGATACATTTGAGTTATGGTTTTGGAGGAGACTATTAAAAGTATCATAGACTGTCGCCAAAAGAACAAATAGCTGTGCATTGGAAGAAGTACAGCCAGAATGCTCCTTGGAAAACAGGATGGTCAGATTTCGTCTCTCATACTTGGAACATATTTTCAGGAGAAACCTGACCCACGGTAAAAATACCATGTTTGCTAGGGTGGAGGGTCGGATTAAAAGTGGAATAATCCCAATGGGATGGATTAGCACAGTGGCAGCATCAAATACAAATACAAAAAAAAACAACAAAAAAAAGTGAATTCAAATACAACAATGATTGTGAGATTAACGCAGTACTGGGCAATGTTTTGTTCTGTTGTTCATAGTGTCGCTATGAGTCTATACCAACTCAATGTCATCTAATAATGCCTAGGATATTGATATTTATGTGACCCATTTCATTTTTTACTACTTCTAATTTTCCTAGATTCATATTTCTTACATTCCATGTGCTGATTATTAATAGATCTTTGCAGCTGCTTATACTCATTTTGAGTTGTGCCCCATCAGTAAATAAAGGTCCCAAAAGGTTATTCCACTCATGCCATCAGGGTCAAGTGTACTTCGAGGAGACAGCTCTTCCTCAGTCATATTTTGGTGCTTTCAAACCTGAGGGGTTCATTTCCCTGCTGTATATCTGACAAAATTATGTTGCTATTCATGATGTTTCTATATTCAATATTCTGGTGCTATCTGACTGTGTTTCATTGTTATTCATAAGGTTTTCAGTGGCTAAACATCTGGAAGCAGTGTGCCTCTCCTTCTTTGAAGTTTGTCTTAATCTGGAAGATCAGCTAAAACTTGTCCATCATGGGTGACCCTGATGTTGTTCAAAATACCAGCGTCATAGCCTCAGCATCTCAGCAGCGTGCAAGCCACCATAGTGCAACAAAGTAACAGACAAATGTTGGTCTTCATCCTATAGTTAGTGAAAATATACTTTAAGACATTTTATATTCCTTTAGTGTAATATCTCTTCATTCTGAAGAGCTTCCTTTTTCATTTCTTTGTGCTCTGAAAACTGTATTAGGTATTCTTCATGGGAATATCTTTGTTTAGCTTTATTCTTGAAAGCTATTTTCACTAACTTTAGGAGTGGTGGCCATAATTCTATAGTTAGTGCAAAGTGTCATTATGAGTTGGAATTAATTCAATGACACCTAACAGCAACAACATCAATAATCGCATTATATGAAATAACCTCTAAATATGCCATTCAAAAGACAGAGACTAACAAAGCAATTTTAAAAAAAATAGCAGAACTATTTTGTTTATTCATACCATTTTAAAAAATAAAGACAGGTAGATTAAAACTAAAACAATGAAGAAAGCATTGTCATGCTAACACTAACTAAAAGAAAGCTGAAGTAATTTTTATATCAATCTGACACAGCAGGCTTCAGAAAAAGAAACATTATTAAAGATAAAATGTTTCACTAAATTATAACCATAAATCTTTACAGAATCCAGTTGCCATCCTTTTTCTATCTGAGCAGCTGGCAGATAGACCTGCTTACCTTAGCTGCTGACCTGCTCCTTCCTCTGTTGTTCAAGGCAAATAAAGATCAAGTGCATCTTTGATGGCCGTTTTTAAGCTTCTAAGATCCCTGATGCTACCCAGTGAACTAAGAAGTTGAACAGAAGTACTAGACATTATATTATTCCAATTAATTGGGGTGTGTCATGAAATTATAACCCTAAGCCTACAAACCAAGGATCCAAATCCCATGAAGCACTTGGTTGTACATAAGTAGTTTATGTTAATGGAGGAAGAATAATTTGGAAAAGGAGGGTGAAAATGTTTATAAAAAATGAACTCGAAAAATATAATCAATGTCACTGAGTTGCTCATGGAGAAACTGTTGAATTAATTTATGGTCTGCTATGTATGTTCTCCATAAAACAACAAAAAGAAAGAGAGAAAATATTTCAGTAAGCATATTTTATGGATTTTATTGATATATCTTAAAACATACATAACTAAATATATAAGAATGATACTATTTAATCTGCTTTTTTACAGCACAGGGCAGTTGGGAAACCTGACGGCACCTTGTAATGCTCAATGTGAATGCTCAACCTCATATTATTCTCCTATATGTGGAAGAGACGATATTGAATATTTTTCTCCCTGTTTTGCAGGATGTAAAATTTCAAAAGCATTTGAATTGCAAAAGGTAATTAAAACACATATGTTTCTCCTTCTTCAGTAAGATGTTCAATTTGCAGATAATGTTTAATTTTTATTCTTAGCTCACTATATAAACTTTTATTTTTCTTATTTTTTTTAAAGATAAAAAAACCAAATAACAATAACAACTGCAAACACTTTTATTTTATATTGCCTTACTTAATACAGTGGGATTATCACAACTGGGAGTAGAAAAAAGAGGTACTTGTACATTAGAACATGCCACTCTATATATTACATTATCTCAGCTTGATGATTTTAAAGCAGTGAATGTTACCTGTTACCACGTAAAGGTAGAAATTTGATTTTTGAAAGAAATAGCCTGAAAGAACATTTTCCTTCTACTTATATTATTTGTCTTAATTCTATACTACCCATCAGCAGCAATAACTCAATCCCAAATTTGAATAAAATCTTTCCCCTATGCATAGGTTATTCAGTACTGTTATCTGGTCCACTTTCATAAAGTTTTTGCTTCTTATGAGGAATTATCTACTCTACACCTCATTATTATAATTTTTCTGTGTCTGTTCCATGTTATAATAGAAGTGGCAGTCATTTTACTGTTGACCAGAATTTACCGTACAAAAGGTCTTTATGAGTTTTAGGCTTTCCAGAAAGGCAATACAATTAGAGAAGATGCATATGTACCAGAAGGAAATGATCAATGGTCAGCCACTTCTAGAGGTAGCATATGATCAAGAGCCAGTGATAATGAAGACAGAAGTCCAAGGTACACTGAAGGCATTGGCAAAGAACAAGGATCCAGGAATTAATGGAATAACAATTGAAAATTTTCAACAAACTAATGCAGTGCTGTAGGAACTTACTCATCTATGCCAAGAAATTTGGAAGACTGTTACATGGCCAACTGATTGGAAAAGATGCATATTTGTGTCAATTCCAAAGACAGGTAACCCAACAGAATGCAGAAATCATTGGACAATATCTTTAATATCGCATGCATGCAAAACTTTTACTAAAGACAATTAAAAAATGACTGCAACAGTACATTGACAAGGAAATGGCAGAGATCCAAGCAGGGTTCAGATGAGGATGTGGCATGAGTTATATCACTGCTAAAGTAACTGTTATATTACACATTTAAAATTGTTTAAACTCTTTAGAATATGTTATTGTAGAAAAATGTGTTACAGAAAAACCTACTGAAAGCCCATATACCAATTACCTATCTTGAACAATTTATAAACACATAGAAGTTCTTGTGCTCGTCTATATTCGTATTCACTTCTCTTTTCTATTATAGTTTGAAATACATAAAATATTATTTAAATGCTTACCTTGTCACCCCAGTTTAGCATAGAATTTCTGGGTATTAATATTGGATATTGGCTGTGTAGTGGCTGTGTAGTATGAGTGTGGCTCTGTAGTATAACCTGTGAACCACAAGGTTAGTGGTTAAATCCCACTAACTGCTCCATTGGAAAAAGACAAGGTGTTCTGCTCCCATAAAGATTTAAAGCCTTGGAAACAGTAAACAGGGTCAAAACCAACTCCAGGGAACATAACAATATTGGACATTGTTGTTGTTGTCAAGTGCTGTTGAGTCGATTCCAATCCATAGTGACCCTGTATAGGGTTTCCAGGGAGCAGCTGGTGAGCTTGAACCACAGACCTTGAAGTTCAGAAGACTCTGTAGTCTGATGCATTAGCCCACAGTGCCACAACAAGACTCCTTACTGGACATTGATGCAATAAAATTAATGCATACTTCATTTCACTATGAAATGAAGTGTACATGATTTGTTAAATGTAAAACTGGTAATGTATTCCATAAATTCTCTTCCAGTACAAAATCAAGGTATTTTGTGTGTGTGCATGTGTGTTTTAAAGAGCCTTTTGATCTCATGATATATTAAAGAGTGAAAATCCCACCAAATATACATCAGAAAGTCCTGGATAAAGTAGGACAAAATATAGAACAAAATATAAAATCATAAAAAACAAAACAAATTTATTGTTCAGATAGATACTGGTGGAAACCTGAGACTGTAGCACTTGTTCACTCTTCTGATCTAGAACTCAACTTATTCCCATGGTTTAATTTTCAGTCAAGCTAAAGATAGATTTATAGGGAACAACACCAGTGAGAAACACACACCATTGTTGTTGTTTTAGTTGCCATTGAGTCGATTCTGACCCATGACAAACCCTGCATAGGATTTCCAAGGAGCGGCTGGTGAGTATAAACCACGGTCCTTGAAATTCAAACCCACCTTATGGTCTACTGCTTATCCTACAATGCCACAATAAGGACTCCAAAGACACACAAACCATAGAGGTCAAATACTTGATATCAAAAAAGCAACAGTTATCCAAGCACAATATTCAGAAGACTTGGAAAAGAAAACAAAATGGAAGCAAAACAAATAGGAAGGAAGTGGAATACATGCCGCTATATTGAAGGGATTGCAATCACTGAAATGAAATGAAGTGTGTATGATCCGTTAAATGTAAAAGTGCTTATCTGTGCTGTACGCTTTCTCCCAATTCACAATATTTTTTAAAATAAAAATATATATAGCTCCAACCCCACTTTCCTTTCCTGGGAAATACCTGTTAGCAACTCTGTTTGAATTTTATAAAACTCTTTATAAACTCCTCGTATTTAGCTAAAGAACAATTAATTTAAAATAGTGGTGCTGTAGGATAAAGCACTGGACCTCAAGGTCAGTTTGAATCGAAAGATCAGCAGTTCAAACTCACCAGACACTCCTCGGGAACTCTATATAAGGGTTGCTATGAGTCGGAACTACCTTGATGGCACTTAACAACAACAACAAATCCACTGCCATCAATTCAGTTCCAACACATAGTGACTTTATATAGGGTTTCTGAAACTGTAAATCTTGATGAGAGTAGACAACTTCATCTTTGTCCCTCAGAGTGGCTGGCGTATTTGAATTGTTGATCTTGCAGTTAGCAGCCCAATGTCTAACCCACAGCACTATCAAGCTTCATAATGAATACCAAGGATAGAAATAATCTACAATACAGGCACTCAAAATAAGTGTGGTAACATTTGATACTTAATAAAAATTGATAAGAGTGCAGAATATTTTTCACCCAAATTAGGCCTGTCAGAAATGACCCAACAAGATAATTAGGCTTTATAGAAATAATGACAGTGAAGGAAAATGCACAATAGCAGATGCTATCTGTAAAATATGATTGAAACTGATACATGGATAGAAACATATTAACTTCAAATGGTAAAGGATTGGTACCAATCAAAATAATTTGAGCAAAATGAAAATTTTAATACAACAAAAAAGATATGCTGCACAACATACCAACTTTCTAAACGTTATGATTTTAATGGTATTTCCTTTGGAAAGCATTTTCTCAGTAACACTATATAAATTTAAATTTTCTAATTAAATGCTTATATTTAAAACAATCAAAGTCAAGATTTGGTAGAACTAAATAGTCTTAAATTAAGTTCAAACAAGAATTTTGAAGACAAGTGGTAAGAAATACTGTACTACTGCAATAGGTCTAAATCTCCCTAGAAAATCATACCTTTCATAAAACCAAGAATTGTTGCTGTTGTTGTTTTGTGCCGTGGAGTCAGTTCCGACTCATAGTGACCTTGTGCAGGGTTTCTGAGGCTGTAAATCTTTACGGGAGCAGAAAGCCTCATCTTTCTCCAGCGGAACAGCTGGTAGTTTCAAATTGCTGACCTTGAGGCTTGCAGCCCAATTCGTAACCACTACAATAGCTACTCATAGCTTCCTTGGCAATTTCATCATTGAGATTATATGTAACCTTTTTGTCCATGGAATCATGGACAAAATAATTTACATTTTCTTAAGTAAAGTATAAAAGAAATACTGACACGATTTTCTTATTGGGATGGATTGTTTTTGCAGCTGATATAGCCTTCATTGTTGTTGTTGTTAAGTTGTTAAGTGCTGTCGAGTCGATTCCTACCCATAGAGACTCTGTATAGGGTTTCCAAGGAGAAGCTGGTGAGCTTGACCCACCAACCTTGCAGTTCAAACAACTTTGCAGTCTGACACAATAGCCCACAGCGCCACACCAGGACTCCATAGCCTTCATTATAAATAGTTATATTAGGAGGTTTCTTTTTCATCCAACAGGAGCAACAAGCTAATTACCAATGGAAGGCTTAGAAAATCTCATTCAAAGCACTAAATATTGCAAGAAGTCATACTTCAGGGTATCTTTCAGTAGAGACATCCTCAGGATATTTTAGGTTCATTTATTCACTTCCCACTTTGTGCTATATTTTCTATGTATCTTATTGAGCCATATATTCAAACTGATATACTATTACTGTTGTTGTTCTGTACAGTCAGTATTCACTTATGTTTACCCATTTCCTTTTATTTTTATATGGGCATTTTGTTTCATATATGATTGCCTTCTAGCTAACTTTATAAAAACTTTAATTTGTATCCTTTTTTGAAAAAAAATATTTTCACGGAACATGAAATTCTAGAATTTTAGTAGCCTCCCACCCCCCAATATTTAAAAGATGAGACTGTCTGCTCCAATAAAGATTTACAGTCTTGAAAATCCTGATTAAAGTTGTTATGATTTGGAATCAACTTTGTGGAAGTGGGTTTGGTTTTGGCTTATATTCTAAGATGACAGACTATGCAGCTATACTATCCAGACCTATTACAACAAAGACTCAAGAAACCAAGTGAAATGGATATGAATTATAATCCTGGAACTCAGAGCTTAAAAGGAAAGGAAAATGAAGCAGATCAAACACTAGTGAGAGAAAGGAATTGAACATAACTGTCTGCAAAGAAATATACAGAGCAGTGAACTGCCAACTGACACAGAGCAGCCATTGTAAATTATTATAAGCAGTGACCCAATTACAGAGGAAGACAGACGACTGGCTATGCTAATTCAGAACTTCACTCACATTGGTGATTATTGACCATAAAGGTGTGATCTGTCCTCTTCCATTGCATAGCATTTTGGATA